GTTTCCTTTCATTCTCTCTTTGGACTTGCATTCTGGAAACATGCTTTTCAGTTACAGCTTCAGGAACTACTCTTTTGTAAAATTGTCTTTGTAGACAATGCTGAGTGATTTGCACCTAACTCCATTGATGCATTCACAATGTGGTGCTGACAAAGAAGACTGAAAATACCTTGGATTACCAGAAAGATGAACAAGTTAGTCTTGAAATAAATAGAATAGAGTGTTCCTTAGAAACAAAGATGATGAGATTTTCGCATGCTTACTTTGGAAAAAGCCAATCACTTTTAGAAAAGGATATATTATTTGCCAATATAGAGAATCAGGAGAAATGTGGGAATCATTCAATTAGATGGATTGACACAATAGCCACAAAAATTATCTTAAATATACCATAGATCATTAAGATGGTGACGAACTGGGCGACATTTTATTCTGTAATATATAAGGTTGCCATGAGATGGAGTCAAGTTGAAAAAAACGAACAACTATAAACTCCACCCTTTCTCTATTCCATTCTACTCTAAGCCATGGAGAGCTAAACTAGATAGGTATAAAGGAGTGTAAAGAAATTTCTTCCCACTATTCTAGTTACTAAACATATGCTTTATGGGAATTCAATGGGTCATCGTGAATAGATTTCAACTTTATAAGATTAGGCAGAATGACCTTCAAGTACATGCTAATTCTGACTATTTTCTTTCATTCCAGAGTTGAAAGACAAAGTTGAAGACAGTTTCATAGATGAAAACCTATATTCATTATAATTCTTTGATTGTTTTAAACTGTCTTCAAACATGAGCATCTGCCATGACAAACAGTAGAATATTCAAGTATTTAGTCAAGCTAAGTTTAGTTATGTGGTCACAGACAACGTTCTTAAATTGTTTGTTCTCCCATGACACATGTTGTTCACAATGTCTGCACTCTCTTGGACCAATTCAGCAGTTATGCACAACTTAGTTTTCCTCTTATTTAAAACAGCATACTTGAACATTGGTGAATAGATGTGAAACCATGTAAGAATATTTCTGAATTGAGTTGAATTCAGTTTGTTACATCTGTTTTAAAAAATTAATTTTTACACATTAGCATTTTTAATAAATGAGTTGTAATGCACTCAAAATCAATGGCAACATAAATGTATCATGACACTAACCAATAATCTAAGGATAAGAATCCTGTCCTAGGATTCAGAAGGGTTGATTTCTTCTTTGACCTTGGCAATTTGCTGATTCTTTGTCTTAGTTGTCTTTGCAAATAAATGGGGATATTTATGCTTGTGTCGTTCCCATTCCATAGGCATAGTGTCTGACTAAATTTAAAAGACTACAGAAAATGTCTCTATGTATAAATTACTTCTGTGTATAAATAATTCAAGAAATGAAGCTGTTTTCATCATTATTATGTTAGTCTAATTCCAGAATCACAGTGAGAATCAACTGCTATGAGGAAGTACTGAGCAATTTACTCAGACTGAAGAGATCATTTCTATCTCTTCCTGTATACCTGAATTCTTAATACTAAAAAATTGTAGTCCACATAAAGGCAGTTTGTTAAAGAAACAAAATACAATAGAAAAGAATTGAAAAGTATATTAGTTGCATACATGTTTACATATTGCCAAACATCATAAAAATGCATGCCACGCTAATTTTCTATCAAATTTTCAAATTCTTAGTGCCTCTCAGTTAATTTGTAAGTGTTGCTGTTGTTGTTTAGGGCTGTAGAGTCAGTTCTGACTCATAGTGAACCTGTATCGGGTTTCCAAGGAACAGCTGGTGGGTTTGAACTGTCCACCTTGTGGTTCACAGTTCAGTGCTGATTCTATAGCACCACACCAGGAATCCAATTTGTAAGTAATCGGTACATTTTTCCTCTTCACATGTTGATTTTTTTATGAAAAGTCATGTTTACCCTGGTCCCCTCTCATAGGAGTCTGAAGAATCAGCCTCACAGACTTCATGTTACTCAATTACACACATACAATACGCGTTTATTCAGAAATGAAAGTACATTTTAAAGAGAGAATGGGTCTGTCTCTGCAAGTGGACAAGGCTCTGTGGAATCAGGACATATGGATTAAGTATAGTTTTCTCTTCCTGGTCCTAAGATGTCCTCCCTCAGGGGCAGGTTTGTGCCACCCCTCACTGATTACGTCTTAATAAAGGGGAGTAATATTTATTTGATTTTTAGTAAGGGGGTGCGGGCATCTGATAAATGGAGTGCTACCCCCTTCTGTATCCTTTGTGTTTGTGTGTTTCTCGTGTTATTTTTGTGGACTGACTCTGTTTGGTGGTTAGGCCTTTTAGATTGCTTCACTAGGTTATTTCCTTTAGCGATTGTTTTTCTCAAGCTGATGTTATTTGTCTCTATTCACGGTCTCAGGTCCTCATTTCTTTCTCCTTGCTCCTAAGCGGTCTCTCTTGGGCCAAAGGAGGAGGAGGACTCAGGGTATCCCTAGTCTGTCCCTATCAGAAGGAATTAAAAATGAAATATGAATTGCTATGAAAGTTCTCCTCTGATGTTCAGTTAGATCACTGGAACTAATTGGGTGGTTGGCAAGTTCTGCTAACAATGGTGAAATCCCCTTGAGGTCTCATTAGCCACAGCTAAGAAACTTCATAGAAGTGGCCTACAAACAGGAGACGCAGTAACACTTTTAAGGCTCAAGAGAAAGGCATTATCCAAAGCTGCCATTTATAAATAAAAAAGAGACTTATTGTAGCTGCACTTTTGGTATTTTAAATCTTGCACTTTTATTTATTTCTATCTGGGTGACTTAACAACAGCCTGGGGCCCTGGGCATGGACCTGTGTCAAATAAGGTCATAGGTGAGATTTTAATTTTTTTGAGGAAAGCATAGAATTATAGAATTTCAGTTTTAAATGCATCTTAAAAAGCATACAGTCACCTTGCAACCCATCACGCATTCTGAGGCTTTTACATCTCCAAGCATTAAGAAAGGTAGACTCTAATACCATCACACCAAATAATAACATTTCAAATTACTTATTTTTTTCTACTGAAATAGCTTTAAATTAGTTAAAATAAAATTATATGTTCAATTTGCATACAAATTGTCCCGCTTAGTATAATAAGATAGGTGTTTTCTTATCATTACACAATTTTTAAAAATTTTCTCTTAAAAATTATTCACCATTCCAAGAGATGCATGCTGGTTTACTTTGCCATTTTTCTAATGCTGAACTTTTTTTTTTTTCTTTTTTCCATTACCATTAACTATAATTTGGAGTCCTGGTATGGCACTGTAGAGTTAATGCATTCTACTGCAAAATCGCTGTGAATCAACCAGGTTGGAGGTTCAAGTTCACCAGCTGCTGCGCAGAAACCATATACAGAATTGCTATGGGTCAGAACTGACTCAACAACCACAATAACAACATTAATGATAATTGTGCTGAACATATTTGTACATGATACTTTTTCACTTAAAAATGTTTTTTCTGTAAGGTTTATTACTATTAAAAGTATTATTGCATAAAAAAAGACAAAGTGATTCACTTTTATAAAGAATAAAATAGGTTTTATATGTTTATATGTATAAGTGTGTGTGTATATATGTCTGCTTGTATGCATACATATACAGTATTTCATTAATCTTACTAGCAATATATTTGTTTCTGTTCTCCAAGTTAAATGTTTATTTTTAAAACTTTAAAAAAACAGTGTGCCCTTTGCTTGATAAAAGGAGCCCTGGTAGCTTTGTGGGTTAGGCATTGGGCTTTGAACTGCAAGGTTGGTGGTTTGAACCAGAAGCTGCTTTGTGGAAGAGAGCTGAAAGTCTGTTTTCATTAAGATTTACAATTCTGTTCATAGGGAGCAGTTCTCCTCTGTCCTATAATGTTGCTATAATATGAAATCAACTCGATGGTCATGGTTTGGGTTGCTGAATAGATCTTTGTGGGCTGTCCAAGAAGTTTAATTAAACAACAACAAAAAAATTAATTCCATTCTATGGCTATATATTTACTGAGTGGAAGTAAGTTTAATTGTATGTGGAATTTAATTTCACTAAATAAACAATATTAGTTAATGAACATTATAATCATCTTGGAAGTTAAATGACGAAGTAACGAATATTTTCAGACTAATCCTACAAAACATGCTAGAAACTATTATACTGAAATGCAGACTCCTTCCAAAAATCTATTTGTTTCTCATAAAGTAGAGATTAATTATAAACAGATTGGAAGATGCAGAACACTTCAGACCTTAGATTTATGGACTGGGAAAACAAATGCATATTCTGGTGAATATGTAGAAAATATATCAATTCACTAAGTATTTTTTTATCAGTTGTGTCAGACACTGTGGAAACCATGCCAAACTCTGGATGAGTCACAGTAATGAAACATATATGAAGGGTATATATGTTATGGTTGGTGTCAGGGAGGGTGTTTCCAACTACTTACACATTTTCAAAATATGACGTTTCTGATAGATGGTTTTTTGACCAGGAGACAATGTCTTTCATTCCACACTTAGAGCTGGTGGCAATAAATGAAAATTCTCCTGGAAGAAGGAATACTCTTATTTGTGTACAATACTTAGAAGTTTCCAAAATACATTTTCGCAAAATTACTAAGCTCACAGGACAGAAGGAGAGCTCAGAATCATAGAGGAAGGCTCAAAGTCATATGGAGGTAGACACAGGATAAGAGTTTAGCTCTCCTCATGTATATTGTCAGGTATTTTCTCAGTAAATTACACATCAAATGTTGTCCTATAGAAGATGCCATATAGGTGACAGGTACAGGTACTAGGTGTCTGAAAATAAGGAAAAAGTCCATGGAGGAAGCTGGAAGGAATCATTGAATTAATCACTCTGGTGAAAAGTACCGAGGATATACTACATAATTATGGCAACAACCCCCTTCCTATTATATGAAATTCAAACTATACTCTTTTCAAGATTAATTAGAAATCTTGCTTTATCCTTTTGCAGGTAATTCATTTCCCAGGAAGGCATCATTCACTAAATGGATGGTCTCATGTCGCCCAATAATGTGACTGAATTTGTTCTCTTGGGACTCACACAGAATCCACATTTGCAGAAAATACTTTTCATTGTCTTCTTGTTCATTTTCCTGTTTACCATCTTCGCCAATCTGCTCATTGTCATCACCATCTCCCTCAGCCCCACACTTTCGGCTCCAATGTATTTTTTTCTCACCTACTTGTCCTTTATAGATGCTTCCTACACCTGTGTCACCACCCCCAAAATGATCATTGACCTGTTCCTTCAGAGAAGAACCATTTCCTTGGGTGGCTGCCTGACTCAGCTCTTTGTGGAGCACTTCCTGGGAGGATCAGAAATCATTCTCCTCATTATTATGGCTTATGACCGCTATGTGGCCATCTGCAAACCCCTGCACTACACCACCATCATGCGACCAGGGCTCTGCCGCCTTCTAGTAGTCGTGGCCTGGATTGGCGGGATCGTTCATGCTACAATACAGATTCTCTTCATGATCAACTTGTCCTTCTGTGGCCCCAATATTATTGACCACTTTATGTGTGACCTTTTCCCACTGCTGAAGCTTGCCTGCAGAGACACCTACCTGCTTGGAATGGTGGTGGCTGCCAACAGTGGGGCCATGTGTTTGCTCATTTTTTCGATGTTACTCATTTCATACATAGTCATCCTGCGCTCCCTTAAATCCCATGGCTCTGAAGGGAGGCGCAAAGCCCTCTCCACTTGTGGCTCCCATTTTACTGTAGTTGTACTCTTCTTTGTGCCCTGCATATTCACATACATGCGTCCTGTGGCCACTTACCCAGTGGACAAGTTGGTGACTGTGCTTTTTGCAATCCTCACCCCTATGTTAAATCCTATCATTTACACAGTGAGAAACACAGAGGTGAAAAATGCCATGAAGAGTTTGATGAAGACTAGGGTAACTTAAACTACACATTATTCTAAAACGTGGTCGTGTAAAGCAACAGGAAGAATCCTATTTGTGGTAAGCTGTGAAAAAAAAATTTAAGTTTTGCAAATCATTGACCAATAAAAGGCCCAGAAACTAGCATTTATTGAACATTGAATAGTATTTAAACCCTTTGTGAGGTGATTTTTGTAGTTCTTCATGTACTGTATTAAGGCTTCAGTACATAGTACACCTCCATTCAGGATATGCACCCTAGAAAGAACTGCAGTTTCCTAGTCGCTGACCAGAAGGTATGATTTGTTCCTGTCTCATTAACTATTTTACTAAATTCTTCATATGTATGTTATTTGGATGGAATTGTCTTTTCCACAGGACCTTGGTCTCAGAACTTCTTTTACTTTTGTATTTTTAACTTTTCCTGCAGTAAACAAATTAGAGGAAACAATTTCTTAAATAGATATACAGGGGGCAGGGTGGATAGTTGGGAATGAAAAAAAAAAAAGACAATTATCTGTTGTTCACCACTAATATACCAAGAAAAAAGAGACACAATGAAAGAAACAGTTGATATCCTGTCTCTAATATTTTTAGTATAAAATATAACCCAGAAAAATTTTAATTTACCCTTAATTTGGTCCTATTTTCTCAAATATTTTTATGATTCATAGCTTTTCATGACTATAAAGGATTTTATTTTCTTACCAAGATTTGAGGAGCCATTTAAAGCAAAGAAGGTGAATGTTTTGTTTTTAAATTAAATCTAAACACAAAGACATATGCTAAGTTTCCAAAGTTATTGCTCCATAGATGTGATGCTTACATAATATAAATGTTAGATGATTTCATATATGTACTAAATTGGTAGTTTCACTACTATATTTCCATTATACATTGAAGCAAATGTAAGCTAAAACGGTTTATTAACTTACTTGCCTATGGTCACACATCTAAGAGTCTAGGTACAGAATGCAAATCCAGGTTTTCCATAGCTTAGTCATATTTTCTTTCAAATAAAACACAGTTTTCTCTGATATGTTTATGTCTTTAGATGAGAAATTTATTTTCAGTGCTAGTGATTCATTTTTTCCTCTAGAAAGATGTTGCCAAATTTGTTGCAGATTTTTTTCTAATGCAGCAATATCTTTCAGCAATAACAATTCTTTATGTACATGGAAAACACCATGTCATTCTATATTACTACATAAGACTTTATTAGTCAAAGTTTCTTTGACTAAAATTCTCCAATTCATGTGAATTCTCACATATGTCCCTTTTTCCAACCCATTGGTCATCTAGACCTATTTCCTTCATCATTTGATCATACAGTAATGACAAAGCATGGTACACCTGTTTGAGGGTTTAAATGTGTGTCTTTGCTTATGCATGACTGTCTCTCATTTTTAAGAAATGGAACCTGCTCCTATAATGTACAGTCCTTGAACGTGACAAAATCAGTACTTATGTAATAAAAATAACTAGCTGCAATTGTTGGTGAGAATTCAATGTTTCAAAAGAATCTAGACAGCATAATTCATGGTTTATTTTGTTTTTTGACTGCTAGATAAGAGAGTAAGACAAAGGTAAATACAGGAAAAATATTGAGTATATGGCATTTCTACTGTAACGGAAGTGTTTGAAGAAGGACATCCAAGGACATCCAGGCCAATGGCGGGGTGTTAGTGCAAATAACAAGTGTTGAGTGGAGTGGGGAGACGATTAGTGAGAAAAAGACTACAAATTGTCAAAAGCAGACTTGGAGTTCTATAAGAACTTAAAGAACTATAACACAGTCTGACATTGTCAGTGGGTGAAGTCTTGCTGGATTGGAAGTAATTTTAAAGAATTGGATATTGCTTTGCATTAGCCATCATGAAGAACTCCTATGTAGACCAACTGCCATCTGATTATAGTTCCTAAATATAAACCCACTTAAAAAGAAAATAGTATTTTTTTTCTAAATATAAATAAGATAAATTATATATAGAACTTTTGTATGAGGATGTTGTTGTTATGTGCCATTGAGTCAGTTCCGTCTCATAGTGACCCTTTATAGGGTTTCTGAGGATTGGATGGTAGGCTTGAACCACCGACCTCATGGTTCAAACGGATCCTTGAAGTCCAGCACATGAACTTGCAGCACCACACCAGGATATTTTGTTTTAATTAGTGAAAATATTAGTCATTCTATAATTGAAGGGAGTGAGTTAGTCATTGTTGTAGGCCATTTATGAGGCATAAACTTTCTTGTTCTTCATATACTGTAGCTCTCTTATTTTTAGTCACAAATATTGTTAGATAGGTGTTACCCTGTTTTGTACAAGAAGAAAATGAGTCTTAATGAAGTTAAGCAATACTCTTGACTCTTTCAGACTCTGTCCCCTCTATTATTCTCACCTGAAAAACTGCTTCTGGCATGATGTAAAGCTATCCAGAACAGACCTCTACTATGTAAACATTTCCCTTGAAGCTTTGCTCTGCTATTTTTCAGGAAGCCACTTTCTTCCCTTTGGCTCTCACTTGACCTCAGTTACTCAGAGTATGCACACTCTCTATATTCCCATTTTGTCAGAGAAAAAAGTCTCACTCCCATAGATGTATTAACCTTCATGAGAGTGTTGTTGTTGTTGTTAAGTGCCGTCGAGTCGTTCTGACCCATAGCAAACCTGTATAGGGTTTCCAAGGAGCAACTGGTCAGCTTGAACTGCCAACCTTACAGTTCAAACCTACTTTGCAGTCCTGCATATTAACCTGCAGAGTCACACCAAGAATCCATCTGCATACTACAGGTAGTTAATGAGTCTTCCTCCCATCCAGATGTTACATTTTTCTTCATATAATCCACTTCTGGGGTTATTTGCTCAGCATACAGACTGAATAAGAATGGTGAATGAATATAACCCCAGCACACACATTTCCTGTTTTTAAACTATTCAGTGTCTCCTTGTTCTTTTCAAATGTCTGCTTCTTGGTCTATGTGTAGGATCATTATGAGAATGATGAAGTCTTCTGGAATATTCTTCACAATGTTATCCATAGCTTTCGTGCTCCACACAGTTGAAAGCCTTTGCATAGTCAATAAAACACAGATAAACATCTTTCTGGTATTCTGTGCATTCAGCCAAGATCAATCTTACATCAACAGTGATATCTTTTTATCCATGTCCTTGTCTGAATCCAGTGTGAACTTTTGGCAGTTCCCTGTCAAGGTACTGTTGCAGCCATTTTTAAATTATCTTTCACAAAATTGTACATGCATATAATACTAATGATATTTTACAATGATGTTTGCTTTGAAACATCATTCCTGTTTTTTCAGAGAAAGTTAGAGAAAAGGGTCTCACTCCCATAGATGTATTAACCTTATGTTAATACATTCAAAGTGAACGTCACCTCTCTTTGAAAAGGGCACTGATGTGGATCTTTTCCAATCAGTTAGCAAGGCATTTGTCTTCCAAATTTCTTTGCATAGTTGAGTGAGTGACTCCATTTTGGCATCAGACAGCCAGTGGAACAGACCATCAATTATTTATATACAAGTTCAGGTTAAAGCTGAAAAAAAATCAAAATAGGTCCATGAAAGTCAAAATATAACCTTGAACCTAACTCATCTGATTCTAGAGACCATCTCAAGACCAGATTTGATGCATTAGACACTAATGGCTGAAGACTAGAAAACCTGTGGGATGACATCAAGAACATCATGCAGGAAGGAGGCAAAAATCATTAAAAATACAGGAAAGAAAAATAAAGAGGCCAAAATGGATGTCAGAGAGACTCTCAAACTTGCTCTCCAGTGTAGAATTGCTAAAGTGGATGGAAGAAATGAAGAAATAAAAGAAATGAGCAGAAAACTTCAAAGAGCAGTTCAAGAAGACAAAGTCAAGTATTATAATAAGGAAACATGCAAAGACCTGAAGTTAGAAACTAAAAGAAAAGGACAACTCAGCCTTTCTCAAGCTGAATGAACTGAAGAAAAAATTCAAGTCTCAACATGAAGTATTGAAGGATTCTCTGGGCAAAATACTGAATGATGTGGAAAGCATCCAAAGAAGATAGAAGGAATACAGAGTCACTCTACCAAAAAGAAATGTTTGATGTTCAACCATTCTAAGAGGCAGCATATGATCAAGAACTTAAGGCACTGAAGGAAGAAGTCAAATCAGCACTGAAGGCATCAGTGAAAAACAAGGCTTCAGGTATTAATTGGTGGAATGCAAATTGAAATCTTTCAACAAACTGATGAAGAACTGTAGCCGCTCACTCATCCATGCCAAGAAATTTGGAAGACCGTTACCTGGTCAACTTGTTGGGAAACATCCATATACATGCCCATTACAAAGAGGGATGACACTATGGAATACAGAAATTGTCAAATAATATCATTGGTATCACATGCAAGTAAAATTTTCCTAATGATAACTCAGAAATAGTTTGGACATTGACAGAGAACTGATGGAAATTCAGGCAAGATTCAGAGGAGTACTTGAAACCTGAGATATCATTGCTGATATCATATAGGTCTTGTTTAAAAGTAGAGAATTCCAGAAAGATATTTACTCGTGCTTTATTGACTATGCAAAGGCTTTTGATTTGTGGAACATAACAAGCTTTAGGTAACATTGTAAAGAATGAGTATTCTAGAATATTTAATTGTGCTCATGTGGAACTTGTACATAGACCAACAGATAGTTAGAACAGAACAAGGGGACATTAAATGATTTAACATCAGGAAAGATGTACTCCAGCATTGTGTTCTTTCACCATACTTAATCTGTATGCTGAACAAATAATCTGAGAAACTAGATTATATGAAGAAGAATGTGGCATCAGAATTGTACAAAAATTCATTAACAATCTTAGATATGCAGATGATACAACATTGTTTGCTGAAAGAGAAGAGGACTTAAAATATGTATTAATGAAGATCAAAGAGTGCAACCTTCAGTATGTGTTGCACTTCCATAGAAAGAAAACAAAAATCCTCACCATTGGACCAATAAATAGCAATATGCTAAATG